CGACTCTAGGAAACATGCACCCTATGTACATGACTATCTGGATCACAGCTCGTATGTAGCGCGTTCCAATTGACCTTCCCCAACAAATTCACTATTGATCTCGGCAAACCGCAAAAAGAACCTATTGTACACCTTCCTTATTTGTACACTACTATTGAAAATGTGGCTGCATTACACTGTTTCTGTCAGTGATATGGTGTAAATATGCTATCAGAAACTGACTCTTATACTTAATTTAACGGCTATAACTTTCACAGTAAATGTGAAAGCATTTGTGACAATTTGATCTAGCCTGTAAACTGGCGTGACTCTTGTAACGTAGTTATTCGAGAATAAATATATTATTATTATCTCGTGGTATCGAAATAACACCAAAATAGTGCTAACGTTTACAGATGAGACTACCGAATGAGCATGAGCAAGCTCAAGGTCAAAATAAGAGGAAGATGAAGGTTTTGTTACAATTAGACAAAAAGGTACAGTAAAATTATCACTGGTTCAGTAGGTTATAATAATAGATGTTTCTATCACACCAGTCACGTTCTCTTCATAAAAGTAAACCACCACAGGAGTCCCCCTCTAAAAAGTGTTTAAACATTCGATACGTCGCCGTTTTGTTCAGAGGGTTGATCGGCCAATGTGCGATCGTAGGGCGGAAGGATTGACGATGAGGAAGCGATCGATGATACTCGAGTTTTCACCGAAAGGTCTTTTACGGAGAACGACACCAGGGGTAACGTACCATATTTGTTGCTCGAGTTGGCGTGCCACACCAGCGTGGTTCATATCCAGAATCTTAAGTTTGCGTTCGTAGGGGTCCGGACCAGAAACACTGTAGACGTAGGACGGAACCACATTAAACGAAGGGACCAGAAACGACCATACCGTTCCAGACCATACGTATTGCAGACATTTTCGGAACCAAAACATCGACTGAGTGCATTGACAAGAGCGTGGGTGATCAGGTCATCTTTCACCGAGATTGACTGAAGTAGACGGTCGGAGGAGTGAGCTCAGGATAGAAAATATCAAAGTAAAAGAAAAAGGTGTAAAATGAATATTGCATGAGGATAAAGTCCTATACCATATCCGTTGTTGACTGAGAGATTAGTCACGAAAGCGTACAGGTAGGCGTACTCGGTGACTGAAACGTGTAACTGTAGTCTCGCACGTACCTCATGAGACTGTAATCTCATCGTCGTGGTCTGCTGGTCTGGACGTGAGATGGTGCAGATGACACGTTCTGTTGACTGAGACGTGAGAATGAAGTCTCTGATGTACCCAGCGTGGGATCCGAGGTAGATGTACAGACCCTGCCCAGCAGGTTTGATGGGTGTAGCATTGGGTCTCAAATTATCAAGTGGGGAGCTGTCATTCACTTGTGCTGGCTTTAGACGATCACTGTTGAATATCTCTACCTGGCCGTGTCGATTAACCTTGAAGGCCTTTTCATGACAGGAAATCACGTGAATAGGTCCTCCTTAAGGCCGTTGTAGAGGTTTGCGTACCGAATGTTCTCGTATGAAAACATGTGAACAACTACATAAATCTCGAGGAAAAGCGACCTGTCGATGCTGAATTCGAGTGTGCTCGAAGAGCACTCTTTAAGTTGGCGGGGCAACCGTTCAGCTAAACCATTTGAAGCTGGGTGGTAGGAGGTAGTGCGCATGCGTTCCGTATCAAACAGTGAGGTCAGAGAGTGGGAATAATTCGGATTCGAACTGTTGTCCTTGGTCAGTCGTGACAGTCGAGGGACAACCGTACAGCGCTATCCATCGTTCTACGAAGCCGTGGGCGACTGTCTCCGCTGTAATAGGAGTGATGGGAATAGCTTCAGGCCATCTTGTGAAACGATTGATTCACGTGAGTATCTGATCATACCCATGCTCGTTGACATTAAAAGGATTGCTTTACCCATATACGGACATATTTATTCATGGGCAGCAAGACTTATCGTGCAGCGATGAGGCGTAATTTGCCCGCGATATCTGGACGAAACAATCCATGAAGGGCATCGAAGACGAGACGATGATAAGCAGAGGGGACGATGTGTCGGGGTAGACCAGTAGAGGTATCACACAAGATAGTACCAGAAATAGTAACCGGGGGCACTTCCTGGCACGGAAGGGATGCGTAACAGAGCATCGGCAACATGGTTTGACTGGTCTTTAATGTGACGAAGGTGTGTCATGAACTGAGTGATATAGTCCAAATGTCCGCACTCTCGTGGTGAGTAGCGGTCAGACTCGATATGCAGAGCATATGTTAGGGACTCATAGTCGGTGAAGAGGATAAAATCGTTGCCTTCTACTGAGTGCCGGAAATGTTTGATGGCAGAGTAGGCTGCTGATACTTCTCGACCAAAATTGCTATATGTCATCTCCATAGGAATGAGGCGTCGGGAGAAAAATTCGATACGCTGCCAGCTCACGGAGATTTTCTGTTGCATTACAGCTCCTGTAGCGAAATCCGATGCAACAAGCGTGGCTGATGGATCAGGAATGGCAACGAGCGTGCCTTGAGACAAATGTGGTTTGATACCTGAAAATGCGGCATCATTCGATTCAAATTTGCTTGCATTACCGCGAAGTAAGTCGGTTAATGGTCGTAACCGTCCTGACGCCTGTGGAATGAAACGGCGGTAGAAGTTAACCGAACCGAGAAATGCCCTCAGTTTCCTGAGTGTGGACGGTACAGTATACTCTATGATTGCACGTACTTTGTCCTCACAAGTTATAATACCCTCTTGCTTAGTGATGTGACCCAAGAATTTTATTTCTGGCTTGCCAAGTTCACACTTGTCCTTGTTGACCGTTATTCCATTATCCGAAAGGCCTTTGAATAAGAGTTTTAGATGCTGACGATGTTCATCTACATTTGATGATGCAACTAGCAGATCATCAATATAGTCGTGAACGAAACCTAAGTCTCGTACTATACTATCGATAAGCCGTTGGAAAGTTTAAGCAGCATTCAGAAATCCCAATGGCAATCCTAGGGTCTCAAACAGACAAGAAGGGGTCGCGATAGCAATTCTCTCAATATCTTTCAGATCTACTGGGATCTGATGATATGCTCGTACCAGATCAATCTTAGAAGTGATAGTTGTACCCTTAAATGATGCCGTGATGTCATGAATATGGGGATGGGATAGCTATCAAAAAGTGTTACTACGTTTAATGCTCGATAGTCGCCACATGGTCTCCAAATAACCCCATCCTTTTTGCAAACTATGTTAAGAGGTGAGGCACACGGACCGTGGGAAGGATGAATAATGCCAGCAGCTAGTAGATTGTCAAGCTCATGTTTAGCAAAAGCCCGTTTGTCCGGTGCCAGTCAGTGAGGTTTTGCCATGACTGGTGGTCCGTGGATGACGATGTGGTGTACCACACGATTAGTTATCGATGGGATCACCTCGAGACGTTTAGTTAGTTGGAGGAATTTCTCGAACAAAGCGTGGAATATATCGTCACGCAAATGAAAAACATCCGTGATTTGGTGCGCGCTTATCTAAGCTTTAAAGCCTATGAATCTACTGTTCGACGAAGTATCGACTAGCTGCAACCTACGTGAGTCAACCATCAATTCGTAGTGCTGTAGGAAATCAATAAAGAGTATGGCTGTGGGAACATCAGCAACGATGAACGTCCACAGAGACTGTCGTCTGTTTCTCAGGTTGATCGTAAGCTATCGTGTACCATGACTGAGCCAGTTGCAGAGCGTAGTCGAAGCATCGTAACTTCAGACTTGCCGTTACCAATCAGTACGACAGAGACCTGGGCACCTGTGTCTACCAGGTACCTGGCGTTAGTGCGGTAATCGTGCAAGTAAATTAAACGGCTAACCTGAGGTGAGGTGCCGGCGAGTACGGCTGCATTTACTAACCGGTATGGGAGTTTCCTGCCTCGTATGAGCAGGGAGCTCGAGAGTTGCAGGCACCGGAACTAAAAGTACGGTGAAACCAGCATAAGTCTGCACTCGATTCCAAAGCAGCCCTTTGGTGTGACTTGGAAGGTGCATGTTTGGAGCGAGTAGTCACAGCCTTACGTGATCGTGGCCTAGCTCGGGGGAAATGGGGCTCTCGGAACTCGAGACGGCCGTGTATGCAGCAACCCCGTTCCCCTTGAGCTGAAAAGCGACAAGCGTCATGGTCTACGTTCGAGAGTGATGTTGAAGCAACCATATAGCTGTCCCACTTGCTAGTCCTCGCTAAGTTTTTGTCTGCTATGAGGGCAACCTGACCAATTGGTGTGTCCTCGTGCAAGGCCGCGAACGCGGGTGGTATAAGAGCTGATAGAGATTGGAGCAGCAATTCTTTAGCTTTTTTAAAGTCTTCCGTCGTGAATTCTGCCAAAGAATGAAGGCGTGTGAGGTGCTGATTCGGCTTAGCACCAGCCGGAGGGTGAGGGAGGTAATCAGTCGTTCCTCCCTCGATAGGATGAAATGTCTCAGAACCGCCTCCTTGAGACGATCGTAGACGTCAGGTACGTTAGGACTGAGGACACCTCTACAGATAGAGGCCATACAGTAACCAGGTGAGGACTTCAGAGCTTAGGAGCACTTCTGCCGCCAGTTCGTAATGCGGCGGATCTTGAATTGAGCTTCCAGTGCCGTTAACCAGACTTCAGGATCGTGGGGAATAAAAGAAACCGATCGGAAGTTAATAACCTGTATCTCGGAGTCCAATATGTTATCGTTATTCTTACAACTATCCAATATTTCGGAAGGTTGTAGCAAACATACGGGGTAGTTGGACTAGTTTCCTGATAATCTAAAGACAGAACATACGATTTACATTTGGTTAGGTTAAATCTGACCAATTTTCACAAATGAAATTTCCATCGAACATATGGAGGCTACAGAGTAGATGGATCAGACAGTCTCTCTTCAACTGCCAATGTAGAAATCTAACGTTTAAAATAATATGTACTCACAGCCGAAATAAGTAATTTCGGTATGACCTTCAGGTCACTGCGAAGCAATTTTTCAAATTTTGGCTTATGAGGAGTTTTTGTCTTTTTGTCTTCCGTTGTCCAGAGGATTCTGAGGTAGTTACATGTTGGCAAATGAATCATATACATTTTCGAGAATTTGTTTTACATAGCTTTAAGGAGGAATCTGTGCTTATTATTATTTAAGTGAAACGATATTGCAAATATAATTTTACATAAGTATTTGCTTAAAAATCCCAACTCCCAAATGTAAATTTAAGTCCTTTTCCACTTTTCGCTATGCTAAGGTTATGTTTCTTTGAATGCTTTAAGTCAAACAAACTGGGTCCTCCTGTAAACAGATATAGTACAACTTATGATGACCATAGGCATAGAACTGCTTTCTTCGAGCTGTAATAATGGATAAATATACATTTTAAGTTAGTATATCGCCTTCATCACTACGTTTTTTGTTTCTGCTTTTCATGTGTCGATTGTTAGTGTTCTATCCTTTTCTTCACCTACGTTTTTCTGATGCTGGTTAGGAGCCACTTATAGTTAACGGAAAGTATATCCAGTAGTTTTGCAGTGTCTTGTCTCAGTAACTTCTTCATCTTTGGGATAACACTCTTGTCTACTTTCAGAACATGTTGGCCTCATAACACCTGCCTGAGTCACTCCGAATATTGATTTGTGAGGTTAAAGTACTCAGTAACTTCCATTGAAGTTCTGCACCAACCCTTAATGTCGAAATGCACATGCTGGTATATGATAGCTCTTCACAAAGGCAATAGACTCCGGTTCTAAAGTTTATGCATCCAGGCATAAATTCAGTGAAGTCATTGGAACCAGATTAATGAATTCGTGAATTGACCTGGCTCTGTTTAGTTATGTCACTATTCAGGGAACAGTTATGCAGTAACATACGGGTATGAAAATATGAATATCATCATCTTGTGGAACTTCTGGACACTTTGTCTTTCCATCATTCACTAGCTTATTTAGCAGTGCACCCTAAGTTTAATGCGGGTTGACTCGCTCGTCACTATTGAAGAACCAGTCAAGAATCCATGTACAAGCTGGTTCTATAATTTGTCTTGAGAAAATTGTCTCGTGGTGAAACGATGGTATTTTGTGTCCAAATGGTGTGTTCCAGTTTGAAGTCATCCTCTTCCTAATTAACTTGAAGCATTTGGGTAGTGTATCTAGCCATCGCCATAAGTGACGCAAGTTGGTAAAAGCCAATCGAGTCTTCTGTATTCGCACTGAGGATTTGTCAGATACCAGACAATTGGCACTGGTCAGACTCCCGGGATAAGTGAAGCAGCATCACTTCAAGGTAGCACCTACGGTTTGGACTCACTCACTTAGTGAATCTGATAAGTGCTGATGTCTGACGAAATTTCAGTGCTTTGCCAACTTGCGTCACTTATGGCGGAGGCGAGATACTCCTCTGCTACACGAAACAGGAGTTTACTAAACATTGCTTGCTCCGTCCTTCTATACAAGTGTGGAACATGGTCACTAAGAATAAAGGATATCCGTCAACCAGGCAGCTACAACGTAGAACTCGGTACGTATGTACGTCAGTTCATGTTTCCATACCACAATAAAACTGAGTTCGAATAGTCAATCCAAATTTCGCAGTAGTAAAGGTAATAAAAGCCTACTTATCTTTTGTTCATGATTTTCAGAAAGGTGTATAAAATTTAAAGTAGCTTAGATATTCATTGTTTTTGCTTCATTTTTTTTGTATGAACGTATACTTTTCTCTTAACTAAGATTACAGATTCACTTACTTAACGTGTGTCTTATTGTTACATCTCCCTATATTTGTATTCAGGCGAAAGATTTGAATGCGACCGAACTCCAAAATATTTTAGACGCCAGTATTTCTTCAACGTTTTATCACACTTTCGAAGCAAGCTGTTGGAAAGCCGCAAGATTTTCCCGAGGGTGGATTTCCATATTCAGTTCATTTTTGACTTCTGATAACTCACCCCCGGAAAATCCTTACCACTATCTAATTCAATCTGATATAGGACGTAATATTCTTTTGTGGTCCGGAGAAATATGTTCATCAAGCAGCATAACTGTTGCAAAACGAATTGAATCTGAGGATATTAGTATTTCCCAAGCGCTACTTGATGCACTTTCGGAGGAAAAGGATGTGGATGCTGTTGTTGATTTGATCAACTCTCTGCTTGGTTCGTTTGTACTTATATTTGTTAGTGTAAGTCATGGTCAATACTTACAATTAAAAAATGTATAGATCGAATCAGGGAGGGTTTATTTCACTCGAGATCGATTCGGTCGTCATTCTCTTGTTGCTAGAAGGTTTGCGGGACTACCAAATGAATCATTCTGTATCAATTCAATTTCAAGCATGGTTATTCCGACCCAACCTGTTTTTTCGGACGTCAGTTTGGAATCTCTTGTAAGTTAGCTTATTTCTGTAACCGCCTAACCATTGATTTTACTAGATTCACATTCTGTTTTCACTATCTCAAATTCTCTTCTAAATCTCAAGAAGTGACAGATATATTAAGTCCGGATCTCCAAATGTTTATCCAGCTTATTAACTGAAAGCGTAGTAGAAAACCCCATACATATTTGCTTGAAAGTTCTCTGAACTGTCTTGGGGCATCCAAATGAATGTATGGAGGTGATGACATATTTGTAAACGAATCTGGATTACCAATGTTGCAAACTGGCATTTGAAATCAATGTCTCAATATTTGAAGCAGTCCGAGTTCATCTTTTGTGAACGTGACGAGACGGTCTTGACTGCAAACTAAGTAAACAGGCCTATATCAGAATAGGTTGATCAGCAATTATGTATACTAATCGACACCCTTATTTCACTGTCTTTCAGCCCGATCGAAGCTGCTACCTTGACGTGGTGGTCGGGCTTGCCTATCGTGATGACCCAACCGAGCTATATTGGCTGGAACTCATGTTCCTGAAGGTTCAACCATGCCAGGCAGGTCGATTGGAGAACGATGAGACTAACAGCAGCTACCGAAGGTCTGAGGGCGAAGTTGTACTGCTGACTGCAGAGGGCTGTGACAGCAGTAAGGTGTTTCCCTCAGACAACCAGCATGTGCAGCGATGCTGCCTTCTCACAAGGAAGGAAGGGTTAGAAAAGGTCGACCCTAAAAATGTCACACCTCACCCTACCTCAGGGATTTCCGTCTCCGGCGATAAGGGTGCCCACTAAGGGCTTTCAAGAGCGGAGCTAACACTCAAAAAGCCTTCCATAAAAAGGCCGTGCTTGACCGGCCTTAAGCAGTTGTCCCTTGGGCTCTGCGGTCACGCTCCCAGGTCTCCAAGACCAACACTGATCTATCTACCTTTTCAGGTCACTCAAGAAACAACCTTCCACGGTATGGGCAGCCGGGGAAGTGATAGCCGCCCTCATACCCGTAACAGCACGAGAGACAAATTTGGTCGAAATCAAATCCTTCCTACACCCCCCTAGTACCTCTCTTATCTCCACGACTAACTCTTCTCACATTCATTTATCACAGTGCGCCGCTAATGCAGACGATGCGAGTTCGCGAAATGTCGTTCCTGGTCTCCTTAAACCCCGTTCTGAACTACATGTTGGAGCATTTAATGTACGGACATTGTGTCAAATAGGGCAACAGGCTTCATTAGCTTGGACTTTAGAATCTCATGCCATCGATGTATGCTGCGTCTCGGAAACGCGCATACAGGATCCGAGTAGCATCATTCACTTGGCCTCACCATGTCAAGATACAGAAGCAACTCGATTTACCCTTCGTGTATCCGGTAGCCCTGATGCTGCTTCCTGGGGTCTCGCTGGTGTAGGTATAGTATTGAGTCGTAGGGCAGAACAATCTCTCCTTGACTGGATCCCAGTAGATAGTCGCTTGTGCGCTGTCCGACTAAACGGGACAGTAAGGATTCGAAAGGATAGGGACACTCGTCGTTGCCTCTTCGTCATATCAGCCTACGCTCCCGCTGACTGCAGTCCAGACGATGTAAAAGACGAGTTCTACAGAAAGCTTTCGGACCTCCTCCAAAAAGTTAAGCCCTCTGATATAGTTATAATGGCTGGTGACTTCAATGCTCAAGTAGGTAGTTTAAGTGAAAATGAAAGACACCTAGGTGGATGTTATGATCTCGCGGCTCAAAGAACAGACAGTGGCTATCGTCTGTTGCAATTGTGCTCAGATAACCAACTATTTCTAGCACACTAATTCTAAGCATTAGGAGAAACATCTTTTGACCTGGCGACCCCCGAAGTCGTCTCAACGTTGGACGCAACTAGATCATATCGCCATCAGCCACCGATGGAGGGGTTCGATAGAGGACTGCCGCTCGTTGTGGGGCACATGTTTAGATTCAGGTCATGCCCTAGTGCGAGCGCGTATTTGTTTGAGGCTTACTGGACGTAGGGAAGACACCTTAAGGGAGCCTCTTAGGGTTTTACTTAATGATAATCAAGCTAAGGAAATATTTCAGGAAGAACTAGAAAAAACAGTTAGGCGACCACGCAAGTGATTTCCATCTGGAGGCAGGTTAGAATGATATCAAGAACGCTGTGGAAACAGCAGTGATATCTGCTAGTTAGGTTAACCATAAGCCTAGAATGAAGCCGTGGATTTCATTCGCATCCACCGAACTGATGGATGCTCGGAAACGCATCCCACCTGACTCTGAACATGACGAAGGGCGAAGTCAGCTTAGGCGCAGACTTATAAAAAGCCTACGTAACGACCGTGAACAGTGGTGGTGTCCTCTTGTGACAATCACAAGGAAATAAGTCTAGCTAATATAGTTTCTAAATTGTTACCCTCGATTATACTTAGACGTCTATCTAGAGCTCGTGAAGAGCAGACTAGAGAAGACCAGTCTGGTTTTCGACCTGGACGTGGTTGTTTAGACCACATCTTCACACTACGACAGGTCCTGGGACACAGACACACATTTAGACGTCCGACAATAGTCGTGTTCCTGGACCTAAAAGCGGCATTTGACTCAGTGGATCGTGAGGTTCTGTGGCAGTGTCTGCCATTGAAAGGTGTACCAAAGAAGTACATTAACCTTATACAGGCTCTCTACTCGAACACTGCTGGTCGAGTGAGAGCTTATGGCGAACTTTCATCTGAATTCTCTACATCAAATCGTGTCCGTCAAGGCTGTCCACTCTCTGCATTCTTGTTTAACTTTGTCGTATACATTCTCTTAGAGTTAACATTAAGCTCGTCAGATTTTTCAGGGGTTGACCGTCTGCCAGGAAAGTCGCTTACTGATCTAGAACATGCCGGTGACATAGTTCTAATTGGTGAAGAAGCTGACAAAGTGCAGAGTCTTCTGACTACCATAAGCAACAATGCGAATATGTTCGGGATGTGGTTTTTCACCTCGAAATGCAAAATGTTGCTCCAAGACTGGGTTGCAGCGGCACCTGAACTAGTGATAGAGAGTGAAGTAGTCGAGCGTGTTGATCACTTCACTTATCTTGGGAGTCTCATCAGCGCTGACAGCCTGGTGACTGACGAAATCTCAGCTCGGATACAGAAGCCTCGATTGGTTTTCGCCAACCTACGTCACTTATGGCGTAGGCGTGATATCCGTTCGCTAACCAAAGGGCGGGTGTACTGCGCAACAGTTCGCTCCGTTCTCCTATATGGCTGTGAAACATAGCCGTTAAGAGTAGAAGATGTTCGTAGGTTACTAGTATTCGATCAAAGATGTTTAAGAAGCATTGCTCGTATATCGTGGGACAACCGAGTAAGCAATGCTGTCGTTAGGAAACGAGTACTAGGTAAGGATGGCAGATCAACAGACGAAGTAATTAAACTTCATCAGTTGAGGTGGTTGGGACATGTGTTACGTATGGCTAACCACCGACTGCCTCGAAGAGCTATGTTTTGTGGTGTAGGAGTAGGTTGGAAGAAAGTTAGGGGCGGCCAAACCAAAACATGACAGAAATCCATGAAGTCATTGACGAGTGGACTTAGCCATGTCGGTAGTTGTCGACTACCTGGTTGGGGTCCGCGAGATGATAATAATCGATGGTTAGAGACCTTGAATGACATGGCTCAAAATCGTTTGCAATGGCGCAAATGCATCCATTCGTTGTGCTCTCTCAAATCCTAATCTTCTGGAATCGTCAGCACCTCTACCTTTTTCTTCTAACCTTATCTCACTGAATTATATTTCATGAATAATATCTTCAAACCCTATTCTTCTTCATTACCATTAATAGCCCTTCTATCTTTATCACTATGGGATTTGATTTGACATTTGCGTCTTTGTGCTAATGTGGTATGGCAGCATGAACTAATGTACATACGTACGAAGTTCTACGTTGCAACTAACTGACTGTCTTTCAGTGAATGAAACTTGCAATTTAGTGTCTAACTATATATAATCGGTTATCAAATTATTTACTATCCTTTCCTTTTGGCTATCTGGTTATTTTTTTTACTTTTGGTAATTAATAATTAATTTGTATTTTTTAATTAGTTGGGATGATTTCTGTTTAGGAAAGAAGCGCAAAGGATTGGTTTGAAATACCTGCTTGTGGAATATTTGTATCGAAATTCGTCTGTAACAATGAAAATGTTTTTCTCTCTGATATCGACTTATATCCTTGGTCTGATCAGCATTTACTTTTATGCCCTTCAACTGTTCCGGTTAACGTCAATAGAGTTTTGCACAGAAATCAGAATTATTGTAATATTTATATACCCACAACTCTTGAAGAAGTACAACAGAAATTTCTGGATTTATTATCAGCTGTTGTACATGATTCGGTCAATTTTGACTTATTATCTGATACAAATTATACATCCACTGTATTAGGTGTATCCGGTGAGAATCGTCAGTCAGGTTCTTTATTCGGTTTACTTTTTAGTGGCGGTTTAGATTCATCTGTTATTGCAGCGTTACTTGATAGGTCTGTCAGTTACATTTAACTTTTTCATTTGTACGTAAAGTTATTATAATCCATAAATTTTGAAACCAAAAAACTACCACTAATTCACAAGTGTACTATTTCAAACTTTTGTTATTACTTTCTAATTTTGACGAAAGCGGTTTGTTGTGACATGAAAGAGGAAATAAGTACAACTCAAAACAATCAGTCCATTTTATAAATTTTGATAGAACTATGAAAAAACATAGTTGATTTTGAGATGATAGAGATAATTTCCAGCTCAGAGAACGAAAGTCCATCACAATCATAATCAATCTAAAAAATGTGATGCATTTGCACCATACATTTTGAGCGAAATGGTCACGTATATGCTTGTCAAGGCATTTCATGTGGAAATTAATATGAAGTCAATTCGATCAAAGTTCAAATAAATTTAAGGTGATAGTTGTAAATAAATCAAAGAGAAAATTAACGTAATATGGAAAAATAGGAGATTGTCACGTTACTCGAGGCCATAAAATGACTTAAAGACTACCACGCTAAATTCAAGGTTATAACAAACTTTTCATTATAGAGTTATGGAGATCGTTGTTTACTACTGAAATCATGATCCAATCTTTGTTAGACCACCATTAGAAACACAAGCACTGGACAGCCGTTTCGTCCTTGTATGGGACTGCTTAGCAGTGCGCATCCACGACTCCTGCTACTCGCGGGATTCGAACTCAGGACTTTCGGTCTTGCGCGAGAACGCCTAGCCTCTGGACCACTCAGCCGGTGTGCAACGGTGTTAGTTTCTAACTATAATCAATCTAAGGGTTTTGCGCAACCTCACCCATTTGTCTTCGTTAGTTACTGCCTACATCCGACAGGGTCGAGCTACACTGGTCACAACTTCTCACTTGAACTACCAGAATTTCCTTAAGTAGCTAGTCACTAGTGACAAATGGGTGAGGTTGCGCGAAATCCCCACAATGATCATAGACATTAACACCGTTGAGCGCTTGCCCAGTGGTCCAGAGGTTAGACGTTCTCTCGCAGGACCAAAAGTCCTGGTTGGTTTAAATTTACAAATATCTAAGTCTTTTTATAGACCTCAAAATTCGTCCTTGAACATTTTTATGCAATGTTTTAAAAGCTGTCTTGATGCCCCGTTTCGATCATGTGTTTTGCTATGGATGGACATGGTTTTCTATTTCCCAGGGACCATTTGAAGTTAACTGGTTTTGAAGTCATTTCATAACCCTTGATTGCAGTGTCCGATTACTCCTTATTTGTGTCCACACAAACGTGTAAACTAATGAATGCAATGGGATGTGATACAATTATTCGAGCGATGTCTAGGCCTATGCGTAGTCCTGGGTTTAGTCCTTTCAATTATAACCGGTTTAGCATTATAGTATGTTTTCTCAATGGCTGCTTTTAGTCTCCGTCTTAAAATCTAACTTTGATTCACCTCTATATAATAGAGATATAAACACTTTTCTTTTCAATCGAATAAAAGAGAGGCTTTTTTATTAATTGATTTTTACACCTATTTATAAAGTTTAATGGAAAATCATTTGGAATCAGTGTTTCAGTTAACAGTCTAGCATCGTCTTCGAAAATATCTGTAGTGCATATTGAAGAGGCATTTTACCACGCCTCGCTTGTGCTACAGTCGACAAAAACTGTGGAAATTCAAATATTGTTCATTTCAGATAGACTTCTTATAAACTGACTGTTGTATAGTTCCGTTCTCCTCTCGACTTGACAGCATGTGTAAAAAGGGTAATCGGTCATTACTTTCTTCTCCGTAGGCCAGTAAAATATCACTCTGAAGACTATTGAGTTTATCTAGTAACTGAGATATATTGAAATCTCTATCACCTAACTACTATATCATCCTTATATCTTCTATACAGGGTAGCCTCCCCATCTTGTGTTTATTTGCACTTTTATTTAGTTGTTCTTTTATTAATTTTCATATCAAACACCTTGACAAGTATATGCGCGACCAGATTGTTCGAAATATATAGCGCTAATACGTCACATTTTTTTTATATAAAAGATGTTTCCTCATTGCTCTGTCGGAAAAGGCAATTCAACTTTAGAAATTTTCTGCGACCTTACCATCATATTTGTAATGATTTTTACAAATATATTAGTCTAATGAAAAATAAAAATAGGTTACTTCGTATTGTTTTTTCGGTAATTTTAACTATCGAAAAAGGTTGGGTAGTGATTCAAAAGTTAAACGACTGTTGAAGGATGAACAAAATTTACGAATCAGCGAAAAGTATGAGGGATTATTGTTCACTTGGCAAGTATGAAAAAGAAATATAGAACATGGTAATATGAAAACTCGAAAGAGTAAAAGAATGACTGACTACAATGCAAAAAAACTGGAACTGGAAGAGATGTTAGAGTCTTGGCGGAATAAGCGATTTATTGAAACATTTCAATTGTATGTTTATGATTCGTGCTGACTTCGAGCTAACTCGTTTGACCATGTAAATGATTTCAGTAATCATGTTTCACACAAGATAAATAGAATTTCACAAATTTAATGTCAAATTTTACAACATGCAGATGTCTTGTCTACACCACTGAATCAGCAAATAGTGATGTAGAATTTATTAGCCTATTGCTCAGATTATAATGTTGGATGTGTAAAATTAAATAGTTTTCTGTAAATAAGTTTGTTACATACTGCACTTTTTTTTAATTTTTCGCTGTACTCGTGATAAAGTCTTGTTCATCATCGACGACTATTTAAGCAATTTAAATTTTTCTAGTTAGTTACCATGTCTTGGCTTATTTATTCTCTACGAATTAATGTGTCCTGTATGTTGTTATTCTTTTTTTTAGATTTGTTCCTGAAGACCAGTCCATCGATTTGATTAATGTCGCTTTCCAAAGGAAAGTCACTGGTGTCCCTGTCAACAATACGTTAGTTAATTTTTATAATGTATTATTTTCATTCGGATATCCCTGAAAATGTTTCGTTAGCTCGAGATGTTTTGGATCATGAGTCCATATTGCCTGAACAATTACTAGTTAATAAGTTTTGAGTAATTCCAAAGCAATATGCTCCTACATTTGACTTGGATCAGGCTGGTATTTTGCTTTAACCCAGTTCATATTATGTGTCAACTCGGTCTTGGTGTGCTGGAGATTGAAAGAAGCTAATCATGTCACAGTGTGCCGATGACTATGGCATAACGACTCCAAGATATTTACTTCGAGTCGTTAGCGTTTCCTTATTAGTTCTTTTTGGTCATGTAAAAGAGGGTCAGATATGTACGGCCCACTGAACCTGTCTCTACAGAGTTCCACTTTTAGAGTCAGGCTATGAGAATAATTTGTATTCTTCACTTATGTTCCCTATTATTTGATGCTGAAACTGTGGAAAAATGTGTATGGTAATTGCAGACTAGTAATTTTGGTTTGTTGTTCAGAGAAAGTTTTGACGTTGTTTGTGTGTAGTAAATTGCTTTACAGTAAAATGCACTTATCAAATCAGAACTAGTCATTTTCTGATCTGCAAATGATAGATAACTTTCACCGTCGAACTGTAAAGAACGTCTGAAAGATTTAGAGTCACCCGTTCTATCAGTTTACGCTAATGACGAGTTTGTTCAAATAGTTAAGATATTTATCTGGACAGTTTTGTGGTTAGTGATTGTCGTGGGATGAAAACGTGTGTTTAGGCCACTAGTTGGTGACACAGTTAGTGATAACCTAAGAGGAAGGGCCTTAGTCACTCAGTCAAAATTTACTCTATGTTGCAGTGGCTTTTATACCACATATTACTTGTTGTTTCAGGAATAGGTTGAAAAGAGTGGATGTGGTTAGTTTAGGATACGATGCTGTGAAACGAATTGTAGTCGTGTTGGATTAATGGCGGTTGGTTAGGTAACTCCATGCTATATACTATATACAATGTAGGGTTTTACTTCGTCATTATACGGAGCTTGAAATAAAAGGCAATGAAGATATACTTCCATTTTTAATGTATTTCTCATAATTAACAGGATATATCAAATGAATGAAGTCTATCTTAGCTGTTCCTCGGTTTGAATCATAGCATTCAAAACATTTTATTATTCATTTTACCGTGATCTAACTATTAACAGATCAACAGTCTGTATCACTAAACGAGTTTTTTGGCATTGTTAAAAACTCATGTAAATAAATGGTGGCTTTAATTAACGTAGCCCATATGTTGTAGTATCGAATGAAAGTTCGAACGTCAAAACTAAACAAAACCATTGGTAGGATATTTTCGTAAGCATTCATCTAAAAGATTGACAAATTAACTAATTTCTATTGGTCCAGTATTTGGGACACATATTTCATCTTCCAAATATTCTAAACTAATTTATCATCATTCCTCCTGGTAGGAATGTTCACAGCCTCTAAATAATTACTGGTTATTTAATGGATTTTAACAACCGATATTTTGTTGGCTTCGTCTAAGAACTTAGAGAGAGTGTCTTTCCTTCGAAAAAAGTAGCTCAGTTCCTATTTATTGTCCAAGCAATATACTTCTCCGGCTTAATACAGTTCTACAGTTAATGGGCAGTTTTCATCTTTATGAGCTATTTTAAAGCTTCCAACTTCTACTCCAGTCTCATATTTGTTTCCGTTTTTTTATCATAAGCGATTGTTCGAACGCTAGCAGTCTCATTTCTGCTGAAGAAGCGCCTGATAGACAAACTGCCATAAAAAGTTACGAAGAGTTGTGTAAATTATCTACCGGACGTAAATGGAATTTGATAAAGGTGAGTCTCTGGCAAATTTACTGCGGTACACCCGCTTACCTGTAACTTTTGTGTCTTATATCATACTACTCACTATTGGTAAGTAGCTCGAGTATTTTCAGTTACTCTATTGCGTTCAGGACTGATTATCAGTTAGTAGAAACGACCGTTTTTTATTATGTTTATGGACTTTTCTATTAAAACTTAAGAATTCATTCCCCTCTGCTTTTGTTAGTATCATTTACTGAATTATCGCTGAGGTTTACTTTTTAGGCTCTATTAATCTTATGTTATTTGTTTATTCTCAGAAAGACAACACAATGGTTGTTCCAGATGTCAGCTTTCGATTCTAGGGTTTTAACTCGGGAATTAATTTTTGGTTTAAAATCCTTAAACGAACTCTGCCAAATATTACATACAACGTTCCGTTTTAGACTTTGGGAACAAAATATTATTTTTTGAACGTTGAGCAATTGTCTTAGTTGAATTAATTAGCACAATATTAATCTGTTTAATAATTTAACCATATGAACGATTTGATTAATCAGTTTCATCCTAGACCAATTTTATTCGATTCAGATAATTTTCCACAAAAGTTAAACAATTTGTTTAACCCTGAAAACTAGTCTTTAATTTATCTTTTTTTTTACCGGAATCGGCGCTTTTATTGATAATCATTTTTAAAACTATAATCCAGGCATTTTTATCTATATTTACGAGTATACGATATAATTTGATTTGTTAGTTTTCATATATCCGCTTGTAACGACAATTATTATTTTAGTAATATCCTAGAGTTTATTAATAAATCTCGCTTGTTCAGTTACAAATTTAGAGCATCCTGAGGAACCTGAAAAGGAAGGTAGATTAGTGTTGGTCTTAACGACCTGGCAGCGTGGCCTCAGAGCTCAAAGGACAACTGCTTGAGGCCTGTCACGCATGGCCTTTTTATGAAAGGTATTTAGAGTATTAGCTTCGCTCTTTTTAAAGCTCGTAATGGGCAGCCCTTATCCCCGGAGACGGAAATCCGTGAGGTAGGGTGAAGTGTGACATTTTTAGGGTCGACCTTTTCTAACCTTTCCTTCCTTGTGAGAAGGCAGTGTGGCTGTAGATGCTGGTTGTCCGAGGGAAACACCCCTCTGCAGTGAGCAGTACGACTTCGCCCTCAGACCTTGAGTAGCTGCTTTTAATCTCATCGTTCTCCAATCGACCTTCCTGGCAGGAACGTATGTTGCAGTCAATATAGCTCAGTTGGGTCATCACGATAGGCAAGCCCGACTGTCGGGAGTTGTTTTATTAGAGATTGACAGCCTACATTATTGCACCAAACTACTGATGCGCGTGGAATAATTGGGTTAGTAATAGGTATATCTTCATTTTGAATTATCAGCTCATAAATACGTATATGTAAGTTTATATAATTCAGAATGTTGTCAGTCAGTATCCAAAATGATTGCTTTGTATGTATCATGCTACCTCTAAGATATTCTGTTTATTTTATGATGCAGTACTGATATGATAAATGATATAGTTATTGTTTTATGCATGAATGCATATCCGAGTTTCAGTCATTACAAACTAGAGTATCCTATTAATTGTTTTTCATCCAGATTAATGCCCTCTGATTGATGTATGTGGATAAAATGCACGTACTATTATAGAGAATGAGAAAATAAGTGATTTACATTCCATCACATTTTCATTAAATTGTTTTAATGTTGTATCGTAGTATGATAATTCGGAAATGTAAAGACGGTAATTGGATTTCAAAAGATTTCAATGACTTGACTTTCCAATTATAGGCAATTTAATTGTCGGCTTGATTATGGTTATAATCAAGTTTTGTTATTCGAAACCTAGAGTTTGTGTTACCAACATTAACCAAAATTAATTACTTATGTCCACCGAAGAAACTTTTAGCTATCTCAGATACAGTGAACGCATAAATTTGACATCTGTAAATATGCCCTAGAAATTAATGTTGTCAATGTAGTCGTAATTATGAAAATTGGGAAATATGCTCCAGCTCTTGGAGTCATTTAGCATCCACAACTCTCACACTGAGACGTCCGACTTGAAGGGACGAGACCTAGTTTAGTAATGAATGATTAGGTTTAACCATAGTGAAACATTGCTTAGGTTAGTAGTATTTTAAATATGAACCGAACCAAGATCGTATATATTCTATGTAGAGACTGACTGTTAAACTGAGCCAGGTACGTGAAAACCGAATACCTGACTAGAGTTCGTGTTATTATCATAGCCAACAGTTAAAGACTGAGTGATATGGCTCGCAATCATCCTTAGTGGTACAAGTGCATTCACTCTTTGCCGTTCCATAGACCTTAAGTTTTCATGTTACTTTGTGTTTTCTCATCCTAACAATCAATATTTCCTTTGTAGATGGTTTCTTCTACACATGTTCTTTTCTATTGTCATTAAATATGCTATTATGTTTATTGCCCTGGGATTTTCGCCGTGAAAATTTTTTCTCCTTGTCTTAATGTGTGATAATTTGGACCAACTTATACATTAGCCAGGTTCTAAGTTGTGTATAATTGACTGACTAATTGAACATGTTATCATTCATGTACTTATTTTTATACATAACTTCAGTAATAGAATTGATCCACTTTTGTGTTTATCGTTTTGCCGCCTTAGTTAGTTGTGTAACTGACCACATTCTGTGTATATGGTTTTAATGATTACGATCATAAGATGATGGGCTGCTAACGTTACTAGTCATCTTTATACGAAGTATTAAAATATAATGTAAATAAGGTTAGATAAGTTTGGTTACTTTTACAGGAAATATACAACAATTTACTTAGAGCTGTTCAATAATACAAATTGTCTATTCTTACGTAATTTATGTAAAATTAAAGTAACAGACGATTGAATAATTAATAAATACTTCATTTGTTTTTCATGTCATTAGCTGTTTCACAGAAATTATCTATAAAATAATAATAAGTGGTAATCTTGAACTATTATGTTAAGCAGCGTATGAAAACAAAACCTGCGAAATTCAATCGATCGTAAGCTATCTATTCTCACATAAGCACATACTTTTCTTGCATACTACTTCTTGGAATTCAGTAGTTCTGACTCATTTGTCCCACTTTATGTTCTGTTTGAATGAAGTACTAATGTTGAACCTAAAAAATTAGAGTCAGAAGTTCTTTTTTAATGTAGCATGTTTGTCTTGGTGTATGCAAGGCTTATATATAATAGTTGTCAGTTAATGCCGCACTTCAGCGTAATAGGTACTCATAAACTGCTTACTATTTTATCACACCTGGAATAATTTTATTTTTTTTGTAGTTTGTGATTTATTCGTACGTTCAGTGTAATCGTTTTTCGCAGTTTTATACGAGATTTTTTTCTGGCATTGTAGCTTACAATTATTTACGTAACAAATTGATTAGGTATGAAAACAACTGAGGCAAAAACACAATGGTTATGGTATTATTATTATTGTTATTATTGCTTAAGGTATCATACAAAATATGTAACATATTTAATTATGTTTTCGTCGTTTAATTGCGTTTTTTTCCTTATCATTGTTGTTGTCCTTTTTCGGTCTTTGTTGATCGTGTTTTTCGTAATATGCTCTATTTGTGTATTTGTTTATTATTCTATTCGATTAGCTTATCTGTTCTAATTAATTGTTATTTTATTACTACATATATATATATATATATTACTTGGAAATGATAGATATTTTTTCTTATTGAAAAAAGACTGTTGATTGTGTCGAAATTACGACTTCCTAATTCTATAGTTAACGTTTCAGTTATTGAATCAATAAAATTGAGTTTGAAGACGAATCGTATTAGTTGGTAATTTAATGTTACTGTAATAACACACAGTATTCTGTTGTTATCAGATGCACCGAAATTCTAGTTATTCATGGACATTGATATCGAAAATAAGGTCTAGTTTGATAGTTATCATATTTGCATTAAACATGTAGTGAAAGAGAACACAGGTGGGGCAACCGAATTGTATTTAACGAAAATTATAGAGTTACTCAGTAAAATTGGAAAACCATATCGTAAATCGTTCATTTGCAAAATATCAGTTCATCCTATGGAACTGGACTGTTGCTGTTGCAAAACATCATTCCATTGTCACTATTCATGCGTTTCATACTAATTCCATTGTTTTCTAACTCTTCCTTTCTTGATCTTCCCCCATCTTCTGCTGCCAGACATTACGTTGACGCTCACGTCATATACTACTTATAAGTAGCTCGCACCACAGCACCACAAACATACTCTGAATTAAAATGGCTTATCACGGCTAAGCGTTCAATGAAATAGCGATCACAAAGTTTCATCTGAAGTTGTACTGTATGTAGCTAATAAATAATCCCGTGAAAAGTTTCATTGCCATTATTAAACTCAGGTCAAATTTTATTCTTTTCTGAAACTTAGCTATTTTTGAAATCAGCTAGTAAATCTGAACTAGAAATACTGTATTGCGATTTCAACTTCATTACCTGTTATCATCATTGCTGTTATATAGAAAGGTAAATTGAAAATTTTTCCCACAATTGATAGCGTGATTTACTTTATCATCCTTCATCAGCAAGTGCGTAATTTTTTTTTCTATTTTCTCCTGCTTCAATCCATTGCAATTAATCTAGTTTTAACTACTGAGTAGTATTACTATATTTTTCCTATTAAGCGTGTCCCACCAATGTAATGAAGTAAAGTTCTTTCGCTTTTAATCTACGGCAGAATTCCATCTTTATACCGATTTTTCCAGTTTTAAATTACGATTTTTATTGTTCCATATTGAGTAATTGATTTAATTGAGTAGAAACCCTATATACTACTTACCAACATCTTGAGTCCCTTGCTAAGTTGTCGGATACAATGTAGTTTCACCTGAAAATGTTGAATTTTTCACCTTTTAACAAAGCACTCATTGATGATAGATTGTGGGTCTACATTTGATGATTGCACTCGAACTGATTTCAATCAACTGTTGGGCGCTTCATGATGTACAGTCATTCTTCGACAAGCATCAATGCATTATGAAAACCATCAATGACACTGAACTAATCTCCAACATTCACTCAACCAATTAATGAAATTCATGTTTGTTTGTTTACTAAAAGTAAACAACCTCAATACTACTTAATGGACTGTACTTATTTTCGAGTATTGTATATATAATATTTCTTTTTCTCGATAACACTGTTAATTAGTGAATAAAGTATCATTATTATTATTATTGTTATTATTATTATATTTTATAAGAGATTCTCTCTTCATGATCTACTCTTCATCATATATTGACGTTTACTTGCAAAGATATAATTTTTAGTGTGAGTGATACATGGCAGAGAATGTCCAGTTTTCAGGATTCATTCCTTTGTGTGATTAATAGATAATAATGATAATAATCATAATAATAATAGGCTAATGGTTGTTTTTACTTTTCAAAATTTCATATTGTATAACTCAATCTCATTTTCTAACTGTGTCTTTCAACTCTTTCATTTTCTTTGCTGTAATGCTCTTAAAAACTTTTCATGCATTTAAATACTGATTTGTGAAATTTTATTCACAATGTAAATTGATTTATTTAGATAAAATCATTTCTTGTTTTCTTTCTTTCTTTTTTTGTGCACTGGCAATTTTTTACAAAGTATTATTTAGAAGAAGTCTGCTAGATAATTATTGTTTGTACAACTTGTCTATGTTTATAAATTGTTAGAGAAAGGAAATGTTTTGAATGTCTTTCGTTTTTGAATAAACTGCTTACCTGCTGCTACAAATTACAATAAACTGTTGTTTCATGATTCGATCGTGAAACTGATTTCAGTTAGTAGTCCATATAGCTAGCTACTTACCAACAACAACATCGGGCGGCCAGACCAAAACATGGCAGAAATGCATGAAGTCACTAACAAGTGGATTGAGTCATGTTGGTAGATGTAGACTACCTGGTTGGAGTCCGCGAGACGAAAGTCACCAATGGTTAGAGACCTTGAATGACATGGCTCAAAATCGTTTGCAATGGCGCAAGTGCATCCATTCGTTGTGCTCTCTCAAATCCTAATCTTCTGGATTCGTCAACACCTCTACCTTTGTCTTTCTAACCTTATCTCACTGAATTATATTTCTTGAAAAATATCTTCGAACCCTAGTCTTCTTCATTACCATTAATACCTCTACTATCTTTATCACTATGGGATTTGATTTGACATTTGGTCTCTGTGCTGATGTGGTATGGCGACCTGAACTTATGTACATACGTACGAAGTTCTACGTTGCAACTGACTGACTGACATGATTCGATCTCCTTTTGCACTAATCACTATGTATATATTGATCGTTTAATTGATCCGTTGTAACATTGTTTGTTCGACTTTCTTTGAAAATATCCTTCAAGTAGAAAGGAAATGGTCATCATCTTCACATGTTCAACCTTCTTTGATCCAATACTGTATATTGTTTAAATCGACATTCATCTAGTGTTTATAGTACACTTGACATAGTCATTTGAATAACACCAATGAAAAAACAATCTGTCTTTTACTACACACTTGGCATGAATGTCACTCAATCCTGTCTACGTAACGCAGATTTTATATACTCTACTTTTTGTCAAGCAACAGAAATTATTTGATTTCAGACTGTCAACTTATTTTTCTAAAGTATTTTGCATATCTACAATTTGTATGTTTCCTTCCAAACTGATTTCATATTTGTTTTCTTTAGTATTTCACCATTTTACAGTGACACATTATTGTGATCAATTTTTTTTAAATCTTTCATTCAATGATGAGATAGTATTCGAAGAGGTTTTATGTTTTTTTTTCGGTGTCGAACGTTAGTTCAACTTTAGTCCTTATCATTATGGTATTTCTTTTAGTATTGTTTAGGGGAACCTCGGTGTTGATAGTGATGTTGTTGACACAGCTGGTCAGATTTTTTCATGTTATTTTTTTTATTGGAGTACAGTTCCCTTTTTTTCGAAAGAATAATCGGAGAATTTATGCGATTATCCTAAGGTCATGTTTGCAACAGCTTAAGATTATTTCGAGTTATATTTTTTCACTTGGTTGTATTTTTAAGTGATCATCATTTAAATTCCGTTGTCGCTGTATCTGTCCTTACCTGAAGTACACTGTAATCACTAGTGTTAATTAAAAATTAAGTTCTCACTCTCGGTCAATTGGTAGTGGTTGGCAAACCGCCCAAGTTTCATGATGAAAACTGTATTCATTAACTTGGATCGGGTTTATGGAGTAGTATCGTTCAACCTTATAAAGAACATTTCCTTCATATTTGGATACACTAACCTGTATATAGTTATTCAACTGCATCCAATATAGAATTCGATACTGAATAAACATTTTGGTCGTGTGAATAGTAAATCACTTAATCTGACCAGTTATTTTTAATTGTTTATTTTAGATGACCTCATTATTATTATTTTTTTCATTTTTCATTTTTAGATTAATGTAAATGTCAGTGAGATTTCAGAGGCCAGGTTAGTTCAGCAAGATTATTTCTACCATTGTAATCATTAGTATCACTGGTTACATTTAGTGTAGCCTTTTTAAAAATGCATTATATTTACTACTTGTATTATTATGATTATTGATATTTTTAAGTAGATGACTAAAAAACTGCTGATATGCAGAACATCACTTCACACACACCTGTAGACGACTACCTATAGTCTACATACATGATGTTCATTACCAAGTCATGGCAGTGGATTACCGTACTATGCATCTAACCTTTAATAGGCTGCTAGATATTTTATCAGGGGTATAACAAGTGTAGTCTAACAAGTATCAGGCAATTCTTTTGTATTAGTATCAAGGTTTTTGAAGTAACTTAGCCGTCAGAGTTGTTAGAGCTCCTCAAATAAACAAAATGACCTACATAGTCGATCTCTTCACTCCTCATTCCAGAGTTTCATGGAATAGTGAGAACACAACCAAGCGATAAAAACCCAATAGAAAGAACTATATCGTTTCGCTCCATCGAGTACTATTTTGCAATACAAGTCAATTTAGTCTATCTTCAGGTTGACTTTAGTAAATATCAAGTCAGAGAATCTCATTATGCGTTTGGGATCGGTACTGACAATCAATGAGTGGTTTCAAGGTGATCAATTTTTCGATTTATGATTTCGAAGTTTGTGAAGATTTCTCACATCAAATCGTAAATACCCGGTATCCATATGTAAGGCTTGACTAGAATTTTTCCTGATCATGTATTGCGTTATTACAAATGAACATTAAATCCTAACACAAATCCACATAGTCATACAACCAATGTTTTCGTTTCGCACATTAATAAAGCTCAAGTTTTATGCTCAGCTATAAAACGTGTCAACGTCGTGTTGATCAGTTCTTTTTGCGCTGGAGGTACATGTTAGAATTAGTATTATTTCCTCTCCTTGGAAAAATTTCAATGTTGGCTAAACTTATCTTTCGTCCTATTTTGTTTTCTATAAATCAATCTGGTGAATTCTAAACTTCAATTCATGTATCTGCGTATTACTACCATCCATCATTAGAACGGTGATACGTCAAAACTGAGTACATAAATTCATTCTTAGTGAATGAGTTCCATATACCAGATTTCATCATTGTTCAGTAAAATGATTACAGAAAATCACCAAAAATAGCTATTTAAATTAGAGTATATTTTTTTCACCTTTCTTTTTAAAGATTCTCCCTTTAGTATGTTTTAATCCTGTGAATTTATTCACTGTGATACTGAAATAAATAGTTTATTCAACACTAAAATCTATCTGTTGCTTCGAGTAAACACCTTTTTTTTCTTCCTACATTGTATGCTATGGATTAGTGACGTTGATTTTTTGTCTGTTGCCTATATTACTTAAACGTATCTTGTATTGCAAAAAGACCTGTTAATGGTTCCTTTGATTGAATGATTGTGTGATGAATATAACCTTTTTCATAATAATAGTCCGATTCTGTTTGTTTTGTTTTCCTTGTTCATCATTTCATTCGTAGCTTTTTAAAACTGCAATCCTAGGTGTGGACAGTGTGCATAACCTGCTTTGTATACTTTTTTTAAAAATATAATAAGTATATTGCCCAGATGAGAAATGCCTATCAAGTTGAATTTATTTAGAAATATATTGCTATTATTATTATTATTATTATTATTTATTCATTATGTATTTATGTCACATTTTTTTCATAATTCCATTTTGTTTCATTGTTTTATTGAGTATCAACATTGATTTTATGAATTATTATTATTATTATTAATATTATTATTATTTGCATTGAATAATTCTTACACTTATTGTTTGCATTACTACTATCTTTGAGTAAAATCTTAAATATATTAGATGATGTTTACCTTAAATGATAAATTTATTCATTGGTATTGTTGAATATTTATTATTATTATTATTATCTTTTTTGTCGACTCTATTCAACTCTATTGAACATTCATTGTCTGTCCTCTTTTGTTCTCCTGATATATGATGCTATCTATCACACAACCAGAGCGAGCAGAGTTTATTAAAAATTTCAGTTGCTTTTTAAAACTCATTCCGATTAAATGATGCTGACTTGTTGATTATCTATGGCATATAATTATGATACTGTTTAAAATTGTGAAATATAATATATTCAATCATAATACTTTGCACCCAACTTCCACGAAAAAGGCTGACAATAATGTGAATTTTGTTTAATCAGTCATTTTGTGAATTCCTGCTCGCTGTATTTCGACATAAGGCGATAATTGTGACTTTAACCTACCATCTTCCATTCCAATATATAACACTTGGAGATGTCAGGTTTTCTATCATCATGATACAAAATAGAATTAATTAATACTAGTATCAATTTTATTTGTCTTTACTTAAATGAAAATCTCTTCGTTTAATACCATATGTTTGGTTACAGTGAAGAATTTTCACTATAAATTAGGCTAGATTCCAATTTCATTCCCCTGTTAGATATATATATAATCAGTCGTGCACTAACTAACATATATTTAATGTATGTAGTAGTTACCACTGTTTTCGATAAAAGATGGAAGAGAACGAAAAAATATTTTTTAAAAAAAAACCATGATTCTACTTCCCGTTCGTTAAATTCACGGCAAAATGTGAACATTTTGTGGAAATGCGTAGGCACATGCCGCTAGCATGTTCTTGGAAATCAGTCTGGCACGGGTAAATTTATGTTCAATAAACTCATTTTTAGAAAAACGACCTAGAATTATGAGCAGACAGCTGTATAAATTGGTTAGGGTGAAATATCATATGTCAGACGAGTTTTATTAAGTAAATTTCCATCGCTTTCTTTGAGTTTCATTTCAATAATACACAGTCTAATGTACAGGTATTAATCACTTTATCAACCATTTAAAAGGGGATTATCATTATTATTACGCAGTTATTTTCTTTGCTAAAATATAATTATGCAACTTGATCGTGCGTTATTTTCTGTATCTTTTTTCTCCAGTAATACGTTATCAGTATAGATTTTCTCTCCTTCATCAGTAATCACCTAAAAGAATTCTCATCTGTGTTACTATCTGTTCAACTTACTACTTATTTGGCTTTCTATCATAAAATTCTTATTTTTAAATTATTGAAATTAAAATTATTAAATATCTAATTTCGTCTCATTCTTGATACTTTTAACTCTTACGATTTTGATTGTGTATGAATCTAAATGAACGGATTCTGTGAATTAGCTCCATGTACTAACAATTGTTTTTATGCTTGACGTTAACAGATTTGTGTAGAAAATTCAATAGGCTGGCTTTTTATATTGACTAAATCAAATTTATGTCAGTGAGTTGCAATTTTGATGAACCCTGTTTTGTCTGTAATTCAGTTTCAAAAACTGAGTAATATCATTAAGTTGGCTATATTAAAAATAAAGATTTTGAAACTTTTTGTACACTTATCTATGTACTAAAATTAATTAGTTAAACTAGTTTTGTTTTGATCTGTCTTTCTAAACAAAATTGAGATTTCCGCAATATAATTAGATAATACCAGCTACTGGACCGATTGACACGAGACAGATTTTTAAAAATACAAATTATTTACTTTCAGCACAGTGGTTTTAAGAATACGCTGATGTTTTCTACCGCAGTAATTGTGGCTATACATTACAGGAAATAAATAATTACCCCCATCACTTTTCGATTTATTATGGTTTGTTTCTGTACCACCCAAAAACTGCAGAGTTCTCCAGAAGTAGTCTTATGAATATTTCACGAATACTTCAGTAAGCAGATGATGAATATAGTTTTCTGTCTGGGAACATCAATGACAAGAGATAACTCGAATGTAAAGCTTCAACCAACATTTAGGGGATTTTCTTCACGGATCAAGGCCAGCTAAAGAACCATTAAAAACCGGAGAGCACTGGACAACTCCTTTGAAGCTGTTTAGCTTTAAATCACTTCGTTAAAACCTAACGATTCATAACTTCGCGAGATTTTCATCTTTTGAAGGTATGATGGGCCTATTATGAATCTCTGACTATATTATTGGTAGATATTACCGAAAAGTTCTATATTTAGCCGAGACAATTGTTCAATGCTTTCTAGGCATCATTGGCTCCTCAATGTGTATATCAATGCATAACGTTCATCCACTGTAACCGATCTCTGAGAAACTTCTAAGCTGAATATATATATGACTATCATTAACAGCGCTAGTATTGTATGAAGAAATTATATTTATACAACAAAAAATACGTATAATTTCCATTTACCTTTCTCATTTCATATTTCATCCATATATCTATTAGTTGTCACTCTGTGTTCAAACACAATGATTGATATAAACTATTCGAAAACATAGAAAGATATTGGTGAAATAATTCTAGTTCATTATAATAAATAATTTCGGTATAGGATAGAACATGAGAAGCAGGGGGGTCGGGCGAACTCTTCTCATATATACATTGATCGCTCCAATGTTGTGTTGTTCAAATTGTATTCGCTTCATTTGAAGCATTGGGAAATATGTCATTCAAATGTCAACTATTCAAGGTACAACAATAAGAGAAAAACAAAACAACAAAATTAAACAAATTGACTACAATCATTCTTTTTTTTTGTTCAACTGTGTATGATGGAAAAATTAAAATATTCAACTCTGTATATTAATATATATATATATATATTGGAATGGCGACTTTTTTTTGTTCGCTAAACTTGATTAGTAAATTTATCATTTTACATTGAATAAAAAACAAACAAACAGCCTAGAACAAATGGGACTGACTAATCATGCCTTCACTCATTCAAAATAATATACAAGTGAACAACGAACCTATGCGAATCTGCTATTATTTATTTATTTTTCCGTTTGTTTGTGTTGCTGCTTTTGTTAACCTTGGTGAATTATTTATTTTTAATTTGATATTCTATCTTATTATGATTTATTTAATTATAATTTATTGTATCTCTCTCTCTCTCTCTCTCTACATCATTCATGTTGTCGCACTGAATTTCTCCTCCTCTTAGCATCAGTAATTGATTCAATTAATTTATTGCTGTAAGATGTTTAGATTTTGGTGCATTTTTCAAATTGGCTTTTTCTCTTTTTTTTTATCAAGAAATAATTTAGGATATTTATTTGTTAGCTTCAGTAGAAATATTTATTTATTCATTCATTCATTCATTGAGAGGCGACTAATTTCAGAAAAAAAACGAAAAAGAAAAACTTTATTTTTCAACTTTAATCAAATCATGTTATAGTTTTTATTTTAAACTATTCAAGTACATGTAATTAAATATTTGATGAGGTTTTGCTTTGTTTTTTTTTCTAGACAACATCTTTGCTTGAAATGGTGAAATAGTTATATCTTGATGAATTAAACCAGTTGATTAGATTTTGTATTATGTCTAGTCAACTATTACAGTGAAATCGAATAATTAGATATTTATTTGTAGATTTAAGGTTGTACAGATTACTGAATTGCATCAGAAACCAAAATTGAAACCCTGGAAGTACTGAATGACCGACCGTTTACTCTTACTATGGGACTCCTCATCAGTGCGTATCCATGACCCCGCACACAAGAATCAAACTCAGGAACTTCACTCTCGCGCGTCTATTGTTAACCTCTAAAGCATTGAGTGGGCACCCAACGGTGTTAATGTCTAACCTCAACTATTCATAACATTGTACGACCATCTACTAGTAACCAGCTCAGAGTTCTAGTGAGAAGTTGTGACCAGCGGTGTTCAACCATATCGGGTGTGAGGCAATTACCCACGGAAGACAAGGGATTTTGTCGCATGATACATACTGAGAAAGTGAATGGCATATTTTCACAAACTAGCCCTTGTAAATGACCTCAGTTGACATGGATTAATTAAACGGTGTTATCTTAATGTGATTCTGTTACTAACTCGAATCAACTTCCTTATTTAATTCTTAAGTCTATACACATTTCAGTTTCTTCGAAACATTGTTGTTATATTTATTTTTCTGCATTCCTTCGTGGTTTATATGCTTTTTGTGTCGGAACAAATGTTAACCTTATTATCTGCATCTTGTTGATGTTAAGCGAAAAGGCGATCCATCCATAATAATTATCAAATATAAAAATAATCATATTTCATTTTGTGTCTGCACACGAAACTTTGTTGTTGCACTGCTCTTTCTTGCATCTTCAAGGCCATCTTCCTAACAGTACTATTATAATCGTTACTGTATCAAATATGAGGTACTTGAATTTTTCCGTTTGTTTTTCGTAATAAAAAGTAAGTGAAGGATTGTTCATACTTTTACGGTGCAGTGTTCAAATTTCAAAAGATCATTTGTTCTACAACTTTTGTGATTAATATCAACTGGTGTTTTCATTTTCTTTGACTTATTTGTTTCTTATCCAATTCAGAGTTAAACATGTATGGCCATTACTGCTTCCCGAGCACACAACTGTTTTAGATGATAGCTTAGGCCTAGCCCTTTGGTTTGCGGCACGTGGAAAAGGTGTTTTACATAGTTCAGGTGAATTTGAAGAAAAATGTACTTCGTCAGCAAAGGTGTGTTAATTTTATTGAAGATTATGTGTCAGTAACGTGTCACTACTACCGTCTCTTTTATATCTAAATGGCTTTACTAGTTGTATTATTATTTAAGCATTATTTTTATTGAATCAAATAAAAATACGTTTTTAAGTCAAACAGATTTAATGTTTTGCTTGATTACTTTTTCATTCACATTGATAGCAATTAATTTGTCCAAATCTAGATTGTGTATTGAATACTTATATCATAGCTTGCGAAATGAATGAAATCACTGTGTATGTCACCTGTTTGCATGGCTAGTTAGTCACTTTGATACAAGTTTAAATTTCATTTGAAATGTTTTCTTTAATGATCGTTTACATCATTCTCACCTTTATAAGGAAAATTGATCTATCGGTTTGAATACAGTTGTAATAGAGACAGTCGGTTCGAAATGATGTGTTAGGTTAAGTTAACATTGTTTCGAAACATAGTAGTTTCTACTCTGGGATCAAGCACTGAAACTGTATATGTCATTGAACTGCTTGTTCAAACGATCTCTCATCAATTTAGTTGACCAGATTTAGCAGTGTAACTGTGCCACCATCGGTCTTTCTGTTAATCTCTCTCTCTCTGGTTCCCAATTTGTGTACTGGCATTCTAGTTCATTCATGAAAGTTTGTGTGTAGGTCATATTTTACCGACTTGATCGTTTTTATTGTTTACTGCTACACATTCTATAATGACATAAGTATTGCTTCAGTTTTTGGGCATTCTGCTGTGTTGATATACATCTTGGTAATTTTTATCTCACTGCACCGTACAGCTTGACGACAGTGCCCGATCTACACTTGTGTCAGGTTAAACGTTATTTATTACTGATTAATTCATGGAAACATTTTCTTCAAGATAGTTTGTTTGTTAAAGGTTATTCATTACTATTTGATGCATTCACTTTGGAAAAACTGTAGAAAGTTGATATTTCCGAATACATTAAACCATATGAACATGTACTTTAATTGATTAGCTATTTTATATAATGTACATTTTGTACTCTAACCTAATGACTTCAAAGTAAATTCATCTTCAAAAAAGTTTAAACATTCCTTGTAGATACTGCATTCTGGATTATTTATGTGCATTGCCTAAGAGACTCAAACTAGATATCAAACACATTCTAACTACAATTTAGTTTTCTTAACGAAAATTAATCATTAAAATGTTTATTATTTGTCTTAGTTAATTTACTTATCACTTTAATTCACAGAAATATCTGTTTTATTATTATTTTGAGGACATCGCAATTTCTTATTGACTCATAAAATTCTCAGTCTTACCGTAAATAAATGTCTTCATAGTTAGGTACAAATCTAAAACGTTTTTATAAACACAATAATATTTCTACCTCATATACTTACTACTTTTACTTTTGTAAACAACAATTCTGTCGCTTATATACGTCTTATTAAAACAGGTTTGTTACAACTCTACATTTTTGGAGCGAACTTCTAGTTTACCTAATTTATTCAGTAGAAAAGATGTTAAACATTTTATACAGGCTTTTTTTTATTCGATAATGCAAGCAAAAAGTTTTAGTCGAAGATTGTCTACAGCGATCATCTTTCTGTGGAGAAACTGCACTTATCTGTTAACCATATGACAATATTACCTGACATGTGTCGTTCATCTTGTTAGTTCAGAGAATATATCTAGTGCCCATCGCGATGACCCAACTGAGCTATATTGGCTGGAACATATGTTCCTGTAGGTTCTACTATGCTAGGCAGGTCCACTGGAGGACGGTAAGACTAGAAGCAGCAACTCAAGGTTTGTGGACGAAGTCGTAATGCTGACTGTAGAGAGGTGTGATAACAGTAAGGTGTTTCCCTCTAACAACCAGCATTTGCAGCGATGCTGCCTTCTCACAAGGAAGGAAGGGTTAGGAAAGGTCGTCCCTGAAAATGTCACATCTCACCTTACCTCACAGATTTCCATCTTTGGCGGTAAGGCCATTTGAAGAGCTGAGCTAACACGCCAACATACTACAAAAAGGCCCTGCGTGACAGTAATCAAGCAGTTGTCCCTTGGACTCTGCTGTCATGCTCCTAGGTCTCTAAGACCAACCTCCTTTTCAGGTCCTTCAAAAAGTACCCTTCCATTGTGTGAGCAGCCGGCAAATGACACTCGCCCTCATACTCATAGCAGCTAATTAGAATCAAATCTTCGCTATACTTTTTAATAACCCTCTCACCTCCATGACCAAACACTCACGTTCGTTTATCACCTCACGAGCCTAATGCATATGATTTGAGCACGCGAATCGTTATTCCTAGTCTCCTGAATCCTCGTTCTAAGCTACATATTGGAGCTCTTAATGTTCAAACCTTATGCCGAATAGGACAACAGGCTTCCTTAGCTAGGACTTTAGAATCTCGAACCATCGATGTATACTGCGTCTCCAAAACGCGCATTCAGGATGCGAGTAGAATCACTAGTTTGAATTCACTCTGTCCAAATAATGAACCATTGCGATTTACGGTCCGGGCATCCTGAAGCCCTGCTACTCCTTCCCGTAGCCTCGCTGGTATAGCATTATGTTCTAGAGCAGAACTAGCTCTCTTAGACTGAATCCTAGTAGATAGTCGTATGTACACTGTCCGGCTTAACGGGACAGTAAGGACTCGGAAGTATAGGGACACTCGCCGTTGCCTCTTCGTCATATCTGCCTACGCTCCCACAAACTGCATTCAGATGAGGCTAAAGATGGGTTTTACGGAAAGCTTTCGTACTTCCTCCAAAAAGCTAAGCGCTCTGATATAGTAATAATGGCTGGTGACTTCAATGCTCAAGTAGTTAGACTCAGTGAAAAGGAGAGATACCTGGGTAGATCTTATGGTGTTGTGGCTCAAAGTACAGATAATGGTGACCGTCCGCTACAGCTATGCTCAGATAACAGCCTATATCTAGCATCAGGAAAAACATCGCTTGACCTGGCGAGCCCCAAAGTCATCTCAACGCTGGGCCCAACTAGATCACATCATCAGCCACCGATGCAGTGGTTCGATAGAAGACTGTTGCTGGTTCTGGGGCACATGTTTGGATTCGGATTTGTGCGAGCGCGTATTTGTTTGCGACCTACTTAACGTAGGAAGGACGTTTCAAGGAAACCTTTTATGGTTCTACTTAATGATAATAAAGCTAAGAATATATTTCAGGAACAATTAGAAAAACAGTTAGGCGGCCATCTAAATGATTCCCATCTGCATGTAGGTTGGAATGATATCCAAAAGCTGTGGAAACAGCAGTGATATGTGCTAGTAAGGTAATCCACTAGGTAAGAGAGAAACAATGGATTTCAGTAGCATCTACCGAACTGATAGGTGCTCGGAAACTCATCCTGTCTGGCTCTGAACATGAATAGCTCAGTCACCGTAAGCGCAGGCTGATGAAAAGCCTACGCAATGATGACGAACAGTAAGAGAGATGGAAAAGGCAACGGTGATAGATAACAGTAGACCTCCTCGAAAAGCAAAATATTACTTAAAGATTGGCTTGGTTCGTCTCCTGAACTAGGGATAGGGAGTGAAGTAGTTAAATCTATTGACCGCTTCACTTATATGAGGAGTCTTATCAGTGTCGACCGTCTGGTGTCTGGCGAAATCTCGGTACCGGTACAGAAGACTCCGTAGGCTTTCGCCAACTTGCGTCACTTATGGCGTAGGCGAGATATATGCCTACCAAATAAAGGATGGGTTTACTGTGCAGCAGTCCACTCCGTACTACTCTATTGCTATGAAACATGGCCTGTAAGAATAGATGATATTCGTAGTCTATTAGTATTCGATCATAGGTGTCTTCAGTGCGTTCCACGTGTATCATGGGATAACCGAGTAAGCAATGCAATTGTTAAAAAGTGAGTTTTAGGTAAGGATGACAAATCAGTTGATAAAGTAGTGAGTCTTCATCAGCTGAGATGGTTGGGACATGTGTTACGTATACCCAACCACCGACTGCCTCGTCGAGCTATGTTTTATGGTGTAGAAGTACGTTGGAATAAAACTAGTGCCGATTAAACCAAAAAAATGGCGCATATGCATGAAGTCACTCATATGTGGACTGAGCTGTGTTAGTAGGTGTAGACTACTTGGTTGGGTTCCGCGAAACGTTAGTAACCGATGATTAGAGATCTTGAATGATGTGACTCAAAATCGTTTGCAATTGTGCATGGTGCATCCATTCTTTGTGCTCTCCCAGTTTCTAATCTTAATTCCTCATGACCTTCATCTTTCTCGCCTCAAATCTATTTCACTTGGTTACGCTTCTTGAATGAGTGATCTTTCCGATTACTGCTCATACTTCTACTCCCTCTACCAATATGGGATTTGAATTAACAATTGTGTGTCTGTGCTACCGTTGTATGGGAATTTGAACTGACGTGCATAGGTACCAGCTTCCACGTTGTAGCTGACTGACTATTTATTGATCGACATAAGCAATATGAAATTCAAGTTCAGCATTTAATTTCCTTAAATATTTCACATATATCCTAAAGTTATATTTTGTTTCTACGACTCAATTCCATTCGTATCTAAGCATAAATTTCTATCTTTTTAACGTTCTAAATTCAGTTGACTTTTCTAGGTGAAAACTCTTTAGATTTTATCAAGCAATTTACTGTTATCTCGGTTAAACTGCTTTTTCAAAGCCAAAAATTGATTGATTCCTAATTAATTAAGCCTAAAATTAATTCACGATCTTTTGTTAAAAACGTGAACAGAGGTTACTACTAATTAATTAGCTTGGATGTTAGTCAACTAGAATCGGATTTTTTCTTGTCGCATGTTTATTGTTATGATTACTTGAAGCACTGAAAATCATCATCCGTTTAGCTAGAAGTAGGTTTTTTTATTTGTTATATAAATTGTCTAATTATTTTTTTTATAGGCGGTATGATTGTTGTGCGAACAATTGAAATTCCAAACAGTTTTTCTTTCTTTATTTTTTTTATCTTGGCATTTTAACTCGTGGATTTTGCCACAATCCAAAGCATTGAAACAAAATTCTCTAATTCAAATTTATGTTTATATCAATTTTGATTGAGTGAATTTATGCTTTACAAGTTTGTTAATTTCTATCCTGTTTACTTTCATCCAATCAAGTTCCTATTCCTCGGCTCTGGTATCGATGAACAATTAGCTGGCTATGCTCGTCACCTGACAACCTATAAGTAAGTTCCTTTTCTTCCTTGGAAAAATTTATGCACTTGCTGACTATTCGGGGAGTTCACTAGTTTTTTGTCTGTTAAGCTGGTAATAATTAATCAATAAAACCGAACAAACGATAATTTAACATGTACAATGTAATCAAATAGTCGATTCTCGATATAATAGAAATTGGAAGAATACCTAAAAGATTGCTGTCAGTGTTTTTTTAATGCAAGAATCTAAAAAGGATTTTCAGAAATCTAACGAACATAATTTACTTATCAACATTAAAAAGAAAATCTTAGTTTAGTCTATCTATATTTACATTCAGATAACAAAAGTTATCCAGGTGGAGTACTTGAGCTATGTGTAATCCAGTGAAACAGTAAGTAGTGCTAAGTTATTATACCTCACCTTTAGAGATAATGAGTTCACCGAAACAACTGCATCACTCAAAATCACTTATTCATTTACTGGACCTTCTATTCCGTATAAATTAACTTACTTTATTCTACAATCAGAACTCAGGAAACTGTATCATGTTGCCTCCTACGGTGTTTATTAATACACAACCACGTGTCAAATTGAATATATATAATAACAGAATGAATGATACATGTATAAATATCTGAATAATTTCTAAAACAAAAGATTAGAAAAAAATTTAAAGCTCTAAGTAGTGTCATTATTCTATGTCCAGCTGATTATGAAAGTCACGTCACCGTCTTAGTATCATTTTAAAAAGTTCACGAACAAAGAAGCACAATCCAACTGCTCTTTTTTTTAAAACGGAAAAATTTGCTACGTCCCAAACACTTACAGCTTGCTGGCCACTTAAAACAAATCGGTTAATTATTGCACTACACTGGTTTAAATAGCTTTTATTTATTCATTAGCTAATTCAGTGACCACCACCTCAAGGTCGACTGACCCCTCTAAACTGCATCATCATTTTCACTTAATCTACGTCCTCCGTTCACCAGCACTATAAAGTATTTAAGTCTCGTTTTTTAACATTTTCTTCATCGTTTACCTAATCAACTTATGTTTACGACACCCTCGTTAAAGACTTTTGTTTGTGAAGCGATGGCTTGTTAATTAGAGTAGTTGTCCTTCAGCACAGTTTGGAATTCCTTTCGAGCCACTTCAATTCGGTCATACCCAAGTACTTGGTGAATAAGTTTATCATCATTTTTACCATTACTATTATTATTTTATTAACTTTTTTTGTCTCAAGCGATTACGGTCATCAGATTTGATTATGCATAATTGGCATATTTCGAATCCATCGGGCGGGTTTTTAATCAATTCTAAGAACAACGTAAGAAGTTGATCAGTTATCATACTCTACAATAAACTCACATTATTTCTGCCCTAATTGTTGTTATTTTCTGTCTTCTAATTTATAAAGAGAGATAGTTTTTTTCAAGTTTTATAATGTGTTATTATCAACTCTCTCTCTCTCTCTTAGTCTGTAATAATGAGAATATGAAGTTGATTTAAAAAATTGTAATCTCCATATAGTGACCCAATTTATCTTAGTAATCTGACTATTAATTTAGTTTTACAGCTGTTTTCCTTAACAATAAATAACTGTCAAATAAATAAATGATGATTAGTGATAATTGAAAAAAAAACTCTAGAGATTCACAGTAGTCTAAGAGAGAATAACAAGTTTTCTCATCATCATCTATAGCATAAGTTTGACCTTTAAACTGATTTTTAATTTTTGTACGCTATCAGTGCTGTAGAAGAAGTGACTAAAGTCAGATCTGATATCACAAGTCTATAAACTTATTGATTTGACTTGTGTATGAGCTTAAAGCGCTTTCCTGATTAAAGTCTGAAAACAAATTTACTCAATGGTCTTATTTTCTAAAACGATGCTGCAATCAAGGCATTAGTTTAATAGGCGTTTAACAAACTCTTCTTCTCCTTATCTCAAGACGATGGAAAAGCTAAAAATGCATTGCATTCAAAACGGTATTCTGTTTTTTTAAGTCACACCAAAGCGCTTGCATAGATAGATGGGTTTATTGGACTGTGATTAATCAAATTACTGTAAGCAATTGATATATATGCCTTTAAGTGAAATCACAAATGTTTAGAAAGATTTATTCTTATTGTTACTATTAGCTTTTAAATATAATTTGTCCTTCATATATAATTGTGTGTAGTAAACATTATCTAATTCAATTCTTTTTTTTTAAAAAAAATTTATATTTCTCAATGAAACTTGGCAAATCAGATTGTGACTATGAATTTTTTCATCATCAATCTATCTCTCTATCTATCTATCTATCTACCTATCTATCTATCTATATATATGCACATGGATATTTTAAGGACAGAAACAAAAAAAATAAATTAAACCATTAGTAAGATCTTCACCCTGACAAAATTATCAATTCATTTATAGTTAGTTGTATTTGCCTTTTCATTAAGAAGAATTTAACAAGCATTGAATTGAAGAAAGCATATTTCTCTCATTCTTCTCATTATTTCATTGAACCAATATATTTTTTTTTGTTTATGTATAAATGTCTATTGAAATAAACAAAGTTCAACTCATTATCATTGCTCCAACATAAAACTTGCGATTTAAGTTCATTTATATATAAATATTAGTTAGTTATTTATTTCTGTATATTTATGAGGGCGTGTAATAAACAACCATACTGTTTCCATTTATTATTTATTATTAATGGTATTATTCTCTTACTTCCCACGTGATTGGTTACGACGATATTGCTTTGAAACCGTATATATATATACATATATATATATATATACAGTCCTTTTAGAAGGGAATGGCTTCAACAATAGTCGAAAGTGTATTACTCCTGTGAATTTACACTACTTCCCGATTGATCTTGTGAGTGTTGTTGGATTTTACTGGATGTGTTTGTCTGTGTGCAATAATTTTCAATGTTTCTTTTGTTCATTTTATCCAATTAAAAAAAGAAGAAGAATATTCTGAACTAACTGTTGCGCCAAATCAATGAATCCGTAATAATTAATTATTATCAATGTCACATACATTTTGCTTGAAACGTAGATTGAGGTTGAATAGTGTACATTTTATGACTAAGAATTGAATTGAGATCTATTTTACTAAACATGTTGTTTTCTAACGGTACTATAAATTTTCGATTTATATCCACCAGATCTGAACTTCCTTATGGAAAATCAAACACTCAACGACTTAGTGTACGAGCAGTATGTCCATTTGTGGTCTTGACGTTCAAAGCCTCTTTTTTCCAATCTAATTTGATATCAACGTAGATAGAGGCCGTATATACACGTAATGTATATCTGAATCACTACAGTTGCGGTACATTTATAGCGTTATCAGCCAGTCCATAAATTATACTGCTCATAGTTTTGTGTAAAAATTTTCTAGATAATCTTTCTGCTTAGTATGCTACTTATCAGATTGTTTCCTTTTGTATCCTTAGTAATCTTTACTATTCTACAAGACACAGTATAAAGTTGTTAAACTAGTGAATAAATTTGAAAATGATCATTCTCATTATATTTACTAGGCATTTACTTAGTCTTCAATAAGTTGCACTGACAAAGGTATCTTGTAGATAGAGACATTCTTATCTGACATTTTGTTTGAATGAAAAACAAAGAACTTGTTTAAATTCACATCTGTTTATATTCACTTACCATCTATTCATGTTTCATCACTGGTCATAGCAAAACTAACAGATTCTATGCTTCTTCGTATATGAAGTGTGGAATGTTATTATTATATACGTGGGAAAAAAATTGGGAAATTGGAATTTGTGGAGTTTGGCGTTTCACTCTAACAGTTGAATACATTCAATTGTTATCTATTAACTCGTGGTGATTAAACGTCTTGATTTGCATTTACATTCAATTCTTTTCTTGATTACCAGTAAATCAGATCAACCTGGATTACTGTTTACATTATTCTCATGATCATTGTTAATTAGAATGTCATTGTCAGAACCGAGTTTATTATCTGTCACCACTGTTGTTTGATTTAAATTGTTTCTATTGATACCAGCATCCCCTTCTGTATAACTCACTGATCGGACATTATTTAGTTGTTTACTGTCAGTTGTTGATCTTGCATCATAATCAGAGTTTAATTTAATAAAATGTGAAGGTTTCGAAAATTTCGCTGATGACGATGATGATGATGGCGGTGTTGATTTGTGTCTATCAAAGCAAGACATATCGATCAATTGTTTTTTATGTGAATTTTGTTTCGCTACATTATTTTTCATATGATTTTTATTGTTTTCACGGCCTCGATTACGTTGAAAGCATTTAAAACATCCTTCGAATCTACTGTATTGTCTACGCATTATCACACGTATCGGTTCATTTAACCATCCATACAACAATGGATTGACACATGCTGAACCCATGGCAAATAATTTTAATAAAAGATCAATGATTTTTATGTGTTTCCCTGGAATAATATTCATTTTTGGTTTCATCAAGTCCACTGATGCATCCATTGTAAAATTTTCATTCATAATAGGCAATGACTGGTTCATTGTATACCATAGGAATTCTTCACATGTTTTCAAACCAATGGAATATTTCCAGGTTTCATCATCTTGATCATTTGTTTGTTGACCTACATTGAATAATTGATTGAATTTCATTAAATCATAGGTGCTTGCTGAGGATAGATCATTGTCAACATTTAACAGAGCTTGTACTTCCAATAATAGTGAATATAAACACCATGGTGTCCAACACACAGCAAAACAAACGACTGTTATTACTAATAAACTAGTTGTGCGTTTTTTACGTTTTTCTGCTTCTTTACTAGCATTTATCTGACATGGTCGTTGTTTTAATCGTCGATATATGGCCAAATAAAATCCACCTGATGCACTTAACGGTAATAGAACTAATATAACAAATATGGATACAGAATAAGCAAATCGTAACTGTGGACTTGGCCATGACTCAACACAATAATGATATTCATTCAAACCTTGACTGTTTACTTGTAATGCAACTGGTATTGAAT